CATTGTGCAGAATTCATAGCAACAGTTGTTTTAACACATTTTGAATGTTTAATTCAGTAAAGAGTGAATGAATAATTAGAATCATAATGGCATTTGCAGGAAAAATGTATTGGAGGGTTATTTTTCCCGCAGATACGACTGATGAGTTTGAAAATTACAATATTATGGCGATATATGGAGGAAACTGTAATGATATAGGTGCTCATTTGTCAAAAAAAAACAAAAGTCAGAGTAAGAACGATTCTGTCCAGACAAAAGTATTCTGAAGTTGTTGAGTGTATGATCACACACAATTAGCAGCAACGAACCATGAAAGTACTGTATCAGCTTACACTTTGCTGTAAGTGTTAAAAGTTTGTAGTAAAAATAAGAGTACACTCACATGGTGTAATGAGACGCAGTGACTGACAGATGTTATTAATGTTTTTTCTTGTCTAAGTAGCAAAATGTTTTAAAATCCATTGTTCCCGTTTTAAAAACAGGGCAGGTCTGATGCATGTCATGGAGATCTCCTAAGCTACATTTGTTAGTATCCATAGCTAATAATCTGCATAACCACTGCAGTTGAATAAACAGGGTAAACAGCGACATAAAGATGAACGGTCCCGTCCAGCACCGAAGACCCGTCAGAAGCTTACAGGGAAAATCCACAAATGTAATTTACACTGTACAATATTTTCAAACTGCAAACCTCATGCACGGTTAGGAGACAAGATGTAGAATTAGTCAGCTAAATACAAGCAATGGTGGAAGGCAACTAAGTATATTTACTCAAGTACTGTACAATTTTGAAGACCTTACTGGAGCATATAGTGATAACCAGAAATGTGTGCCGCAGTACTTTGTTTTTTCATCTTTACTACCCAATGTAATCATCTTGTGACCCATCAGATTTATTTTGTGATGTTTGGAGGGCTTCCTGACACCCTCGGCTGGGGACCACTGGGCTAAACTACTAACGTATATCTGAAAGTAATTGAACCTATAGCTCCCCCTCAACCAGCTACAACATTAAAATGCTGTTTACACACCAGTGAAGCAGCATTTATAATCTAATAATCTGTCCATCCATCCATTAGGTATACTGCTTATCCTTGAGGGATGGTGTGGGGACCAGAGCCAATCTCGGCTGATATTGGGTGAGAAGCAGGGTACACCACGCACAGGTCGCCATGTGTGATATAAAAAGAAATCAGTCACACAGGCTGTTTTAATGAAAGAGTACTTTTACTTTTGATACTTGAAGTACATTTTGAAGTACATTTTGATACTTTAAGTACTGCTGTACTTTTGTTTAATTATGACTTTAACTGACACATATTTATTTAATTTTATGTTGTTTTACTGTCACTGGCAGATTTATTATCTGCTTGTATTTTTTTTACATTTTGTTTAATTAAAAGTAACTGTTATAGAATGAAGCTGACTAATTTGCATGAAACAAAATGTTTGTTTAAATAATATACATAAATTCAGTGTTATTTCACCATCCAAACCAAGGTGAAGGAAGACGTGTTAAAAAAACTGTCGCACAAGTGGTTGAATGATTAAAAAAAGGAATTAGAATTTATGTGTGTTTCTCATTTGAGCCTGTTTTTATACTGTATGTTAATGACATAATTATCAGTGTTCAAGTCTGAAAGCTTTTTTGCAGGTGACCTGTCCAAAACAAATGTGAGAAGTAGTCATCTGTTTTAGGATGCATTGTCACCTTAAACACAGCGTGATATGGCGTTGCTACCGAGACCCACTGAGCTGAGCTCTGTAAGGGACCAAGAGCAGGACTGGTTTTCTCATAAAAGCACAAATGGAGCAATGATTTAGGGCTATTCATCTAGGTCAAGAGAATAAATGCAGCTAGTTAAGATGAGACAAATTACAGAGTCATGCTACGCCAGCAGAATCATGAGTTGACAGAGAATAATGATTTTCAGTGTTCTCCCTTACCTCTTACTTTGTCTTCACACACACACACTCACAAACATACACACAGGCTACAGCATGTTCCCTCAGTAATGCATCAGCTGTTCTCAGTACACACACCAATGGTGCAGATTGAAAATGGAAGGCAGGGAGAAAACTGGAGGTGGAGAGGGAAAAGGTGTCAAGTTGTAATAGTTATGGATAATAATAATCAATGTACTGTACTGTACAGAAAGAGTTGACATAGGAACCTGTGTTTATGGCTGCAGAATGGACGCTCTTATAGTCAGGACTGTGCAGGTGTGTTTGCATGAATCTGCATCTCAGTGTGTGTCTGTGTTTAGCATTCAGAGTGACGAGGGTCAGAGGCACCTCAACTGAAGCAGGATCTGAGTGAATAAAGGTCATTATTGTAGAAATGAATGCTCAGAAACCCTGGAAGTGGCAAAAAAAAGGGTGACTGACCAAAGAGAAAGGAGGATCAGTAGATCAGAAAAGGAAAGGCATGCTGGGAAAATAAGTATAATCTATAATAATATACCTTACGTCCTATAGACACTGTAGCTCTCGCATGATTTGTCCTCACAAACCGCTATGTATTTCTGACTTTTTCTTCAGCATGTTTTCACTAGTTATACTTACACTTATTTTTTTTTCTATACATGGTTTGGAAGATGAAGAGACAGAGAGGAAGAAAAGAAGGAAGCGGTGAACAGTGTGTGGACTGTACTTACTCAGCATTAGCCATGATCCTGGGTGATGGAGAGAGGAGGGATGTAGTGGTTATCACAAGGTTTCCACTTGGTTCTGCCCGTTTAAGCGCTGCAGTTCACCTTTTCACCTTTTCGATGATTCTTTCATGTTGAACCTGCAACAAGCAACAAACTCATTAATGCCAGTGAAAAACTTATAAAGCAGCAATTTTTATATAATGGCACAAATTTGGTCATTTGCCAGATTATTAGGAACTCCTAGCTAAGACCAATGCGGTCTAATGCATCAGCCTGGCATTAAATCCTACTTTCATGAGGTTTCTGATGTTCAGCTTTTGTTGAAACTGTTTAAGAGAAGTGTTGATTTAACTGGGATATTTTGGAGGCTGTAGTGAGTGGCTGGTTATTTTTATATTTTGCCCAACTCAATGAGGGTAGACTAAAGAATGCTTTAGGCACTGTTACTGTAGTGTTTCAACATCAACATCAGAAATACATGCAAATACATGACATCACAACTGAGTTTTAATAAACTTTAAACGTAATAGCCAAGTGAGACTGTTCACAATCCTACACCTGCTGACATGGATAAGATTTTCAGGAGGATTTCTTTCTTTTATGCCTGGTTAAAATATCCTTGATCACACACTTTGCAGCATAAGTACACCTGTTCTCAGGATACTGTTTAAAGGCTTGTCCTTGAGTAAGTTTTCAGAAAAGTGGTAGCAATGGATGTCAAACTTAAAGACACCTCAACCTTACAGCTACAAATGCTTTTGAAAAGTAGAATTCAGATGAAAATGTCACATTGTTCACAAGTTAACAAGGTACAAGATAAAAGAACATGACAAAGGGAAGAGCCTATACTCCAAGTAGCCCCCAAATGACTGCTGGAACTCCAAACATAACTTTTTTTGTAATCACACCTCTGAAGCATCTATCCACAAACAGAGTTGGACACATGTCAGACTCTCCATGCTCCTGCCATCTGAGCTATAATAGCACCTGTGATAAAACTGCACTGGTTTTGCTTGCTGGTGTCAGACTCCAGAGAGGAAAAACTAAATGGGAGTTGTGTGTACAACTACCGAGAGCTCCTCGCGGCACATAAATAATTTATTTAGCTGAAGCAAAGGACCTACCTGTGTGAGATTTACATTGTTGGCGGGTAACTGTGCCTCCCGCTGCCCTCTTGCTGATAGTAATGTCTCCCTCGGCGGTGATCAGAGTAAGTGAAGCAGCAGCAGCAGGCTCGCAGTGTGTGTAGGCTGCAGCTATCCTTAGCACTTTGGACGAGCACCGCTGCTTCCCCTGCTCCCACTTGCGCTGCTTGGCTTTCAGTGCAAAACCAAAGAGGCGGCTGAAGCTCAAATGCAAGAAGCATCGTCACTCGGCAAGATCATATTAGCTTTCAAGTGTTATCAGAACGAGATCAAATAACGACCCTTTCTGAGCGCAATCTCCCCCTGGCTGGGATCACTGACGGCTGCTGCTCCAGATCCAGGTTCTGCTCCTCAGTCGAGGGTTTCCCCGGCGAGCGCAGCGGGGAACCCTGCGAAAGGAGCTGTCCAGGTGCTGAAGCGACGAAGCCTCGGCTCTCTACCGACCCCCCCTTCCACAGCAGCGGCAGCAGCAGCTGAGCAACACGGGGCGATTTTCATCCAAACGCCATCAAAACATTGACGTTTTAGTGCCGGAGACTGACAGTAGTCAATGAATCGTGTGACATTTGCATCGCTCCGGTCACGACATAGCAGTCTAAAAATGTTGGTCGTAGGGTGGACGAGCGTGTGTGTGCGTGTGTGTGTATGTGTGTGTGAGAGAGAGAGAGAGAGAGAGAGAGAGAGGGGGAGAGAGAGAGAGTCTGTAAAATTTTGACTGCTTTTTCCCAGTTTCCTGATCGAGGCCAATTTGAGAGCAGATTATCGCCACAGATGATTTTATTAGCTTTACGCCTGGTAGGTCGTCCCTCTCTGTGTCATGAGCGTTTTTTTTGGTTTCCCAAAATAAAGATACTATGGGAATATAAATTGCCTTTACAGCAATTGGCTTAACCGTTTGTCATTCATCGGGATTAGCCAGTCGATGGTTAAAGCGCACATCAATCAATCTCAAGCGTCTCTTCCTTTATTTAAACACGCCTGGACGTGGGCTGCTGGAGATGTTATAGGCTGAGGCTCAGATTTCAGGTTGTGCACAAATAAGGTAAAAGTGGTGATCTGAATTAACTGTAGTAGGCCTGTAGTTACAACCGAGGAAGGATGCCTAACACTCAGCGGACTCAGGGACTGCCTGGATTTAAAGATGCTGCTGTAGTGGTTTGAACAGTGGGCTTAAAAGAAATAAAAGGGCATGTGTGCATAATGAATGTTTGGAATTTATTGAGGAAAATGAGCAGAACAGATATGATTTGGCACATGTAGAAAAGTGCAAAACAATTTTGTTAAATGAGTCATAAACACTAATTTAAAATACATTTTAATGTCCTCCTCAAAAACTATAGGGGCAGATGTGTACATTATGATAAGAAGAAGGAAGATACTCTTGGCTGTTGATTTCTAATTCATTTTTTAAAAAGTAAAATATTGAAATACTTCAGTCTTGCAACAATCATTGTTGCAGCTTTTACAGAAAAGATAAACTTAACATCAGCTAATTTCAACATTAACAGCAACTAACTGACCAAAAACAAACACATATATAAACTGTAAATTGCACCTTATTGTCATCAGGATTTTCTTCTTAGTGAGAAAAAAGCAAGACATCAATCAATGACAGGGCCAACTAGAAAGAAATCTAGACATGAAATGCGCAGCATTCAATGAATTTTTACAGAGACCAGTATTATAATGTATGAAGCCATCTGTAAAAAAAAAATCTGTAAAATTTTGACTGCTTTTTCAAACATGCAGCTGGGTATTTAGTCTCACACTATATTATCAAGATTTCATAAAGAACCTTTACCATTTGTGACTTTTGCAAAGAATACCAAATACTCATTCTTTGTAATGACCCAAAAATAGAATTCACATTTTTTTCTGACAATTCTTCAATTTCCGACCACCTACAACTGTCTCCTAAAGTTTGAAATTGTACAAGAGCCGAGACTAAATCGAGGTGAAATCGAGAGTTTCTGCCAGTCAGTGTCACTTACACAGTCAACAGGGCAGCCGTTCTGCCCTGTTGAATTATTCTTTTAAGCTGGGGAGAGGAAGTGACCAATAAGCCCCACCATTAACAGTTGGAAGTAGGTAGTAGGAGATATGACCTGACATGTGGACAAAAAAAGAGGCACTGTAAGATTCTGCCTGAATTCCCTGTGCCCAACAAACCATGGTAGATATATATCTTGCGTAATAGTATTAATTTGTAGGCTTAGACGGTTTCATTTTTCCATTGGTAAGACAAAAGTGTAAAAATCTTAAGTGAAAAACCTTAAGGAGGAGGAAGAGCGTTCAAATCAAGATTACCTTGATTTTGTGGAAGAAGGGCCACACTCTTCATATTTACATGAATAAAAAAAAAGTGCCTTTGCTGAATCAACAACGATAGCTTGGGATACACAAGTGTGTATAAGTTACTCACCTGCAAAGCAAACAAACCATGAGGTTCATGTCAGAGGGTGAGAAAGATATGCCATCGATGTGTGCGAAGTCTGGGAAAAATATTTACACATATTTTACAAGAGTGCTATATCACGGCTGAATGTTAATAGATGATTGGTTTTTTTTTCAGGGTCCTACTTGTGAAATTTACTAGTTTTAATATGGAGCTGCGTTCACACACCGTCTCCAAGGGACATGATTTCCCAAATGATGCCAATGCATTGACGGCTAAAGGAATAATTTCCTGCTTTATGAGCAGAAATTATGACAGCGATATTGTAACATGAGTAACATTTGGTACTGAATGTTTGTTGTTCCCGACTGCTGTAGCAAACAGGAACATAATGGGTCGTCTTTTTTCCTGTTTGTACGTTGTTACTGCAGGTCAGTCAGTCAGCCTAGATGGACCAGGGTCATGACTGTGGTGTACTCATGCTGCAGACTGTCCGTGTCAGTGTCGCACAGCGTGTAGTCGTCTTTGATGATTCGGTCGCAGCCAATCTCGCCATTGCCAAACAGGCCAAAGAGTGGGGTGTTGGGGAACACCTTGTGAAAGGCATCAGCCTCTACATTGGTCTGGTTGTTGTAGTAGTTCTGACCTCTCCCCACGCAGGCAAACATGAAGCCTAAGGTGTTCCTCTCAGGAATTTTAGCTGCCTTTAACCGCCGGATTGTGGCTTCAGCCGCCTTTGGATTGCTGACGTCTTGGTCCAAGAGCACAGATGCCCCCTGCACCTTAGGGCCACTCAGGGCCAGACCCACCACACCGTATGCACCCTGGCTACAGCTACAGTGAAAGATGAGGGGAGAAGGAAAGTGTGAACATTGCAAAGCGGAGGTCATAAAATGCTGCTATAATTTAGCTCCAACACTGCTGCTGTTTATCTAATTCAATCAGCACCTACTGGCAGAGAGACAAAGGGCATAAGTGATGGAGATATACAGATATCAAACTTAAAAACGAGGTGAGGTTGTATTCTCTGGTGCCATGGATGACCTGAGAGCCACATGTACTTGTTGCAATGGTCGCAATGTTCTTGATATTAGTGCAGAACAGTAACTCACCAGTGTCTGGGAGGAGAGAAGACACTTTCTACCAGTCCTCCAGCGATGAGAGCTTTGCTCTTAGCCAACGGCTCCAAAATCTGGGTGAGAAAGCGTGCACCTCCAGATTTATATGCCTCATAGACAAACATCAGTACCACACGCAGATCTGGGTTATCAACAAGTCCTGGAGAGAAAGTACAACAAAGACAACTGAAAGACTTTCCAAGCTTTGCATTTCTCACTTTAGATGACAGAATGATTACCTATACTCACCTGCTTCTTTCAGTGCAGTTGGGGAGATGGACTTCTTGCAAAAGTGAAAGGGCTTGATGTGTACACCTTCCATGGTAGGGAACATGATTGCAAAGCCTGCCTCCCCTTCTTGGTACTCCTGAGGGGGGCCGGAGCAAGAGCCACTGGGAGTCACTGGACATCAGCAATAGACAGACAATAGCCAACATAGAGCAATGTAAATAATAATAAAAAAATAACTTGATTAGTCTAAATACACATATTAAGGTTGCGGTAAGCAACAATCCAAGCAATCATCATTGTAGTATCAGTTGAGAGAAAAACAGACATAACATCTGTAATAACACCAGTGGCTCCTGAGGGGATGTTTTGAACCAGACAATTCAAATTTTGGAATAAAAGGAGAGAAGAAATCTGGACAGAGCTGGGAGATGACTAAACCACAGAGACCTAGGAGCCAGCATCCAGTGGCCATTAGAGGAACTGTAGCTCAAGGAACTATGGCACTGTATTCACCAGTCAAAGTGGTTTTGCCTAATGGGTTATGATTTTTTTTAAATAATATCAAGACTGCATATGCTAACCACACAACAACTTTAATAAAGAGGTACAATAAGAGGCACAACACAAACCACAGCATCAGCAAGGAGCAGTAAGAGTTACATAAACATCAGGTAAATCAACACACAAGCTGTTGTATAATTTCACTACCCGTAATCAAAAGGCACAAACTCAGAGAATTTAGCAGATGGATGAGATACCATGCAAATGAGAAAACATCAGGTTGTAACATTATAAATATACAGGATCATAAGACTGACAGCCTCATTCACCACTCACACACTTTTTACTTTCTAGGGTTTAAAATTGTGCTGAGGTAAACCCCTGGTGTGCAATTGAATGTGTAAATCACAGAAAACCCTTTCATTGTATTCAAAATGAGCAGATACTGCACATTAGTATGTCATTTATCCCCATCCTCCTCCGTTTTACAGGTTATGGAATTCATAAAGGATTATGCAGAAATACTACATCTAGGTGTATCATAAGTCATCTTTTTAATACTGTGCAGCCCCACTACCAACGTGCATAAATGATTGGACTTCACTAGGCTATTTGGCAAACCTATTACAAGAAATCTATATCTTCCTTATCCAATCAAAGATTTAATCCAATTGAATTAGATGTGCGTGGTGACTCTGGGCTCACCCTCAGCTGCAATATCACCAAATGAGTGTTATCGCAAACAGCCGAAGCTGCCATTAAACCTGATAGATGATGGGAGCGTGATAAGCCATCATCTTGAGGAACGAGAACATGCCTGATGGAGAGTGGCTTCTCTGGAGGGTTGTGATTATATGGAGAAATGGGGAGCACAGCACCAGGCAGACTAGGCAATCTATCAGAGGGTGAGGCAGGGAGGTGCCAGCCACCAATGGTGCTTTCCAACTAAGCAGCAGCAGCAGGGATTAATGTGTAGTGCTCACTGCTGAAAGGTGAACTATTAAACTTAGATAAACTCAAGATACCTGGGTAACTTTCATCTTCTATAGAGTATCTTAGTACTTGAAGATGATAAGGCCACATACATGTACCACGACAGCTTTGAAGCTCATTTAAGAAACATTTTTATGTTAAAAGTGAATTAAATCATTCCCTCAAAGTGGTTTTATTTTGGGTGAGGGGTGATTTTATTTTCATGTCTATGAATAAGGAAATATGAGAGAGACAGAGCAGAGGAACACTTACAAACTATGCCTGGTGTAGCAATGCCCATGATGTCACAGCCTTTGGGGAAGAGCAGGTTCAGTTCTTCAACTGTGTCTGGACTGTGGCGACTTTTTTTTGCTTCAGAGTAGTTGAGAAAAACAAAACATGTTAATGAGAAAGGTCACTGTTTTATATTCCTGTCATTTCCATCATAAACTAAAAAAAAATCTCTGGAAAGCAATTTTAGATTCAGAGAAATTTACATGAGCCAAGCACTTTTTATTTACTTTTTATTAGCACTGAGACTGTAAAACTACTTCTCTTACTGTTGCAAACCACTCTGGATAGAAGTTTCCACTAAATAGCTACATAGTGAATAAAAAATGTTGTTTAAGATCTATATTAAATCAATATTTCAAGTTGATAAAGAAGCCAGTCAGTGTGCAATATATATTAAACTGTAGGTTACCCTAGCAACTCTGACTATAACCCATGCATTACCAATGAACTCCAACTGAAACAAATCTCCCAATTAGTTAGACTGACTACAAACAAATATTGAATGAGAACTTCAACACATCCCACCTTGTTTTTAAATAAGTGAGTGGCCGTGTTTTAAGTACCATAAAAAAATGAGTCACATGTGCTAGATACTCAGTCAAAACAAAAATATTTAATACGTTAAGAACAAGACAAGACATACCAGTGAAACTACAGTGACAAAGAAAAAGGAACATTGGTCACAAGTTGAAACTGACTAACAGGGAACAGATATACACACTGGGCTAAAAAAAAAACTACCTCCCACTGAGCAGCATCATAATATGACCCAACTGTGCAGCAGTGTTAACTGATTCAGTGCTCAGTGATTAAAGTTCCTGCAGCTATGCAGTCCTTTTTAATCGCTTATCAATTAGTTAAACAAGCCCATGTGAATGACATTATGTAAACATCACCCAAAGTGTATTTTTGAAGCTGTTGTGCTGCTAATAGTACAGCAAGAAGTCTAACCCATCCAGGGCTTGCAGTTAAAAGGTAGTATCCTTAATCATAGATGCAACATGTGTTGTATTTCAGTAATTTCTTTTTAAAGTAACAAATATAGGTCAGAGGATAAAACACATTTAGGTAGCATGAATGGAACATCCTTGCTTTGAAACAGCATGATACCATCCCTCTGGCTTCACAAAAATGACCAAATCCCAATATTACCATCACGAAGAGCATTTCTTGAAAAGCATCATTTCACTAAATATATATCAGAGTTCACTTAAATATACATATATTTTTACATGTAAATGCTTTGTAGGACTGATACTTTTGTGCTATCTAATAAAATTATACATTTTTGATTCCAGTCTGTCAAAATCATCTTGGATATTAAGATATGCAAAATGATGAGATGTTTTAAAGCCTCCCTCTGCCCTGATTTCTTTTATATGAGTTTACTGGCTTCTGTCAAACGTGTGTAAAGCACACATAATACAAGGTTCCCTTCTAATACACAGATGTCATGCTGTTCAATGTGGATATATAGTGGGGTCCACTATATGAACATGATACATGTAATCACAAGGCATTAAAATTTTGCTCTGAAAAAAGGTAATCTGGGCCTAATTTATAAATGTTTACATTTAGCATTCTTCAACAAAATAATTCAGACAAAAAGACTTATTAGTAAGGATGCAAAAGGCATGTTTCAGTTATCTCAACATTTTAAACTACTAAGCAATCTTACTTTTTGTGTCATACCACTTACCACCACAATTCAAACAATAATGTATAAGGCAGATGTTTCTAGATGGACAAATTCTGAAATGAAGAATGAAGTACTGAAGCACTATATTACAGTATTTAATACTAACCTTTACTCTCTCTGTAGCAATAAGCTTGTCCAGTGAAGGCCTCACAGTCTACCATTGCCAGAACTTTATTCGGCAGGAGAAATACTTTCTGTAAGTAAGCAGATCCAAAGAACATGTGTTAAAACAGTGTAAATATCACTTCTTATCAAATTTACTGACTGTTAAATTAACATCACTTTGTCTGAGCAGCTCATAATTCCACACATAGATAGATTAATTTAACATACTTAACTTAAACATACATGGTACTCAGGTGAAAAGGTTTCTCTTTCAGTTCCTGAAAACATTTTTAGGTTTTCACCCAAAGACTATGCAAGATAAACAGTGATTCAATAATGTTAGGCAGCTCACCCAGCAACTAATAACCAAAGATACTTCACCATACTTTGGCGTGTTGTTGTATTTGCCAAACAAGGTCCCCCTACAGGATGTTTCATTGGGTGTGAGTGTGGTGATTTACCTCCACCTCCTCGGCCAGGATGCTGCAGAGGGCATGGACCTCTGTGTTGGACGGTCCACAGGCTGACACCCAGGTGAGCTGCTGCTGAGTCCTCAGCACTCTGCGGGCACAGTTTCTCCACAACCTGCACACACTGAGGAGAACCACAAACACATTCAGCTCCATCTGCTAGCCAAACTTGGCAGGAGAGTTAGTCAGTTCATGTTTCTGTCCATAGCAAAACAAAACAAAAACACAACCGACCACCTGAAAACAATTACACACCAGGTTCAAGGACTCAGTAGCTTCTTAGCCGTTCCGCATGTGTGAAAAATAGTTTCACTTCCATTCGACAGCCATTAACGTTAGCTTAAGTTCACTGTTTAGCATATAAACATTTTCCGTTACCTTGCGATTCGCAGGAGCGATTTGGTTGGTACGAAGGTCAGAATTCGTTCAACCACTTCGGCAACATTGCTAAGCACGTATGCAGCCTTGCTGTCTTGTAAAGAAACGGCGAAATCTTGATTTTCACCCATATTTCTCTCTCTCGGGTCGTGGCGTTTCCAGCACGGCTGCCCAGCTACGAACTTTCACCTCTGCTTTACCACCTCTGCCGACATAACACACCGCCCCCCGCGGCGAGGAGGTGCTGCTGCAGCTTAAGTTTCCCCCAACAATTTCTTTTTAAACTTGAACAATTAAAGAATGTTTCTTTTAATTGGTAGTTATATATTTTTCTGTTATACACTATTACGTTTATTTCTGGTGATATTTTCTAATTTTAATAAATTTTTAATTAACTAATTTTTATTTCATCCCTCAAGCCCTTTAACAATTCTACAGCAAAGTCACTTTTGGCTGAACTGTTCACAGCTCATGTCCACACTGAGGCCATAACCTTTAATAAGAGGTCAGAAGTAGACACTTTGTTTTTAATGCTACAAACACTGCCTAATAAAACTTTACTACGTTTTGACGGTTATAGCTCACAATACTACATTGAGTAATCCTTTTGTCCATTTAATATAACAGTGGTGCTCCAGCCGTAACAGTTTAGTGCAGCATTTTTGCATTGCTCAAATGAGATGACTATATAGAGAATTTCATATTGAACATGAGTTTCTCTTTTGATATGTAACATTTTCCTCCATTTCTTCCTCATAGTATTGAAAAACGTAAAAGAAACATTTCTAAAAATGCCAGACTTGGGAATAAATTATACTTCAAGCATTTATTCATGATCTTTACATTTTCAAGATAAAATGGGAGAGACACAAATCTAACAAATCAGTTTCTCAAAATTAACAGAAAAAGTGAATACAGTGTGCAGACATTTCTTTCACTTAGCCGGAAAAAAACCGTACATTCAGGCAACTGTGCTAAGAATTCCTTCCCTGCTAAACTGGAAGTATACAACATCACTGACACTGAATAAATGTTTGCAATGCAGAAGAAACAAAGACACACAAGCAACTTTACAAAAAGTACACATAATAAAAGTCCCTTTTATGAAGCCTTGGCTTAACTTATGGCTTTGTTCATGATGATTATGTGCAGTACCCCACCCCCGAAAAGTGCAAATTCTCCAAACATACATATAAACCTATTAAAGATATACAGTGAATTTGAACAGACCTGTGATTACAGTGTGTAACGGAAACAGTGTAGTTTTGACTGTAGCTCACCAAAGCCATTTGTGCTACCTTGTGTAGAGCTTGTTTCTTCAGGACGACAAGGTCAGAGGAGACATATAAACACAACTCCCCACATCATCTGCAGCAGCCATATATGCCGGCCAGCCATATTCAGAGCAGACAAGGCAATGTGGGGAGAGGAACAGAGCTGGGTCAAATGTTAACCATCTCCATTAGAGTCTGATCCAGCATCTGTTTTACGCTCAGGCCCTCTTCTTTAGCACGTGTGAGTTTATCTGTTAATATAGTATTGCATCAGTTAAAAATCATAAAACCAACAGCGCAAAGATACACAGACAAAGCTCTAGTCCAGGTTAATAAACAGTGTTAGACATTGGCTGAATATTGTTGCAAATCTTATGAATGTGAGACATTTCAGCTGTTTTTTTCCCCATGACAGAAGTTAGTATTCAATACGCAAATACATATCCTCAACTATGATACTCTGAGCCAATTCCACAAACTCAACTTCTATGTTGATATGTAATCTTTAAAGCATATTGTAAATATAATACTCAAGCTATAGACAGGGCTGTAACAAAAAGTTTTTTTGTTAGTTTGCTTTTTCCAAGTCTACAGTTTGGCAGTAGATTTAGTATGAAGTTCAAACACCCCTACCATGCAGTTTCAGGTCAATCACAAAAGTATAACTTAAAAAAAAAAAAAAAAAAAAAAAAGAAAAACGAGTACTAATCGGACCCCAAATTAGAGAGCTCTGTGGAAAAATTCCCTTTTATTTTTACTCTAAGGCTTTAGTTATACTGTTACTTATCCTTGCAGTGGTTCAGGCTGGATGCTCTGTCATGTAAAAGGAACATGTTCTATGACTTCCAGCCATGAGACTACAACTTTCCTCTAGTCAGCCCATAGAAACATATGGTGAAAATTCTCTCTACATGCACTAATGGTCATCACTCCATCCTTGCTGCTACACACCAAATTAGACCCCCCCCACCACCACCACCACCTTAGTTGAATTTAATCATTTATGTAACAGGGACAATTTATATGTCAGTCAGTCAAAGGGTAAATTTTCATTTCTAACCTGTCACATATGTTACTATTTAGACTAAAGTTTGTGCATTTAAAGTGTTTATGCTCATTCAAATGTTACATATCTGAAGCTCTGGCAGGCTGGGTTTGAAAGATTAGTTCTCTAAAGCATCACAGGGTTAAGAACCACATCACCAAAATCAAATGTGTTAATAATGCAAACCCTAGTCAAAACATTGTCCTGTGTTCTGATTAGATGCTACTGTGCAGATGAAAAATAACCTACTCTTATTGGGGCAAAACAGAGCAAGTCAAAATTTCAATAAAACCAAAACAATGGGTAGCTTGGTTCTCAGTACAGCTCAGCAGACTATATCTTAGGATTTTAGTTGAAACTTGATTATTTCTGTTATGAACTTAACTTGCCCTTCTTTTTGGAGATGGATTCAGGGATGCGGAAGGATTTCTAGACGCCTTGCAGCATTTTAAGCCTTCCCCAGCTGTGGGCCCACCATACAGATTTAAACTGGATTCATGTGCTACAGCCCTGACAATAACTGAGAAATTACATAAAATCCATTTTGTGGCTGTTCATAACCTGAGGATGACTGACCTCTCAAACTGCTGTTGTAGCATGCATAATGTGAAAATCTTCCATTTGTATTCCCGTTTGTTGAAAGCATTTCTTGGTTTAAGTTTTGTGTCGTAGACGCAGTTGCCGATGCTCTTTTTATATAACAGCAAAAGACAATATGCCTGGACATTTTGAATTTCAGAAAAATTAAAGCATACAAGAGCCGATTCCAGTTTAGGCCTCGTTTAAGGCTACTCTCAGTTCATTGGTCAGAAGACGGTTTTTCTCAAGCTGTTTGTATAGATGGTCTTGACAGTCAGAAAGCAGGTAAGAGAAAAGGGAAAGAGACAGAAGGCAGGTTAGTACAGACGACAAAGAGTTAGTTCTGCTTTGAAGCATATCACAAAATAAGTGATGTGCCAACCTCTTGAACATATCAAACGAAATCAATCACCCTCTGTATTTGTCAATTCTCATTACAGGTCAAGTTCTGGTGTCCCGATTACCCAAATATTGCTTTTTATACTGTGTTTTCTGTAGCTTTTACTAATACATTTGTTCGTCTTTTCAACCAGAGACACCATGGATAACCTGGACCGAGCCTACAAGTTGGTGAAGGATGAATATCCCACATTCAGTGTTGATGACTTTTGGTGAAGGGACTCAAGTGGAGACAAATGCCCTTTCAACGCATACCTACAATGACAGTCTGTTTGGTTGCATTGCAAAGTAGTAGGTCGAGGAATGTTTGCTGTTGCTACGTTAACCACAGGCGTCTCCATATCAACTAGAAATAATATTCAGGAGTACAACTTTAAAAAGGAGGCCCTCAAGAATAGAGATCATTATTAAGATGTTGGGATTCAAAATCCCAATTGATCTTCCTCAGAAATAGAAGAAAAAAAAATGACCTGATAAACTGACTATCAAAGCTGGTAACCTGTCATGACTATTGGTCATTTTGCCATAGTCTTCCAAGTCAGTGGAAAACAGAGGACAACCATTGCATTTCATGTGAACACTAGTTTGCAGAATAGTTTACACCAAGACTATTATACTAAATAACAGTCCTCTCAAAGAGAAAAAGGAACAGTGAATGGGAGAGGAGCTTCAGAGTTTATTCAAAAGCTACTCGACAAAATAAATTAAAACACATGGAAGACAAAAATCAAAAAAGAAAAAGATGGGACAAATGGAAATGAAGAAACATTGCAGGAGAAAAGGGGAAGGGCTGACATAGATGTAAGAATGTTTATTTTACAGAAAGCAATACGGCTCAAAGGTCTGTACGAGACATGGACAAATGGATGATGGCAGCGACAGCCCACTGTGCAGTAGTGGCGGGGCAGTAAAGAAATACAGAAACAAAGGAGACAGAAAGTTGGGCTGCGCTGCACAGGAGAGTGATGATGATGCTCAACCAGCCTCTGGAGTGAAGGGTGTAAAAATTTAGCTGTGAAAAAAAGGAGAACAACAAAAGTGTTGGAGGGAGAAACAAAACGAAGAATGGAAGATAAATGACATGCAGAACCAGAGGATGAAAAGGGATGCAGAAGTAAGCTAGAAAAGCTTAAGATAATGAGTGAAAGTAATGATAAGATGTGGCTATTGTGCAAGAAACTATAAGGAAGTTTTGAAATCTAGCCGAAGAACCTAATCATAAATACCTATCAAACATGTTTAGTTCACATGCAAAACAATGTCATACAAAATGGGGGGGGGGGTTGTTTTAAAAAAAAATAAAAAAATAAAAAATAAAAAAATCCTATCTATAATTTAGCAGAGTTAAAAAAAAAAAAAAAAAAAAAAAAAAAAACCCTTTTAAAATTTTAAGAAGGTAAAAAAAAAAAAAAAAAAAAAAATGTAAAAATCACTGCAGTCAAACATGCCACAAGAGGGAGCTATTGTATGTTGGTAAGAGTTGTTAGGGGTGTCGACATCTAAGGCACTTAGCAGAAACAAGCTTGGTGAATTACATGGAAGTCATGTCGTTGAGGGCGTGGTCCAGCTCCTCGCTGATGGCCTTGTACTTCAGTTTCTGGGCATACAGCTCATCTATTGTGTGGTGATTATTATAAAGTGGTAGTGAAGGATTGGCGATAAAATGAGAACACAAAAAAGGATAACAACACAATAGTCAGAGAACAGAAGTCAAAGGGAAAACACAAATAGAGAAACTGGAAATAAAAGGCAGGACAGAAATAGGAAAGGGTGCATGGAACAGCTGGTGATGTTGTGTCAGATTCTTGAGGAGTCACTGAGAAACTGCCTCACATGTTCCATGACCCTGTGATGACTGTTCGCGACTAGCTGGCCTTGAATAGTCACTACACCAGAATGCCAAACAGCATTGCGGTGAGAAATGTTGTTGCCGACATGAATAATATCAAGGTGGCCTCTGTGGATCACGGCTTTGTTTCTTCCCTCCAAGGTAGAGAACTTACTGTGTAAATATTCAGCCTGAGGACTATTTAACAACTTGCTGACCAAATAAATAAACCTCACACTGCATCAACCTTTACAAAAAAAGAGGAACTTTTTTCTCTTTTACGAGTGTCCCTTTGAAAAAGCTTGTGCTTATTTTATGATATAAAGAAGACGACTCTAAACGGCTACTTTCTTGTGTGGACTGGTTGAGTAGTTACAGTAACAAACACCCGTTTACATTTTGTGAAAAATATGAAAATAAACTCTGCAAATCCATAAAAATCAAGTGGAAAAGATTCATACCCTCAAGGTCATCAATGGTCTTCTCAAGCTTGGCGACTGATCTTTCAGCGAACTCAGCACGGGTCTCAGCCTGAGTGGAGGAACAATCAAACATTAGCAATTCCCATTAAGAGGTTTACATTACTAGCCTCAGCCTTATAGGACACTTAAAGCACTTAAGTACTGTAAACAAAAACTAAGCATCTCTTCTAATCAAGAAATATATAGTCAGCATACTTCATTCAAGTAACTGAGTCGACATCCAATCCCCGCAGTTCTACAAAATACCCATGGCAAAAAGTGCAGGATGGATAATTCCAGTTAACTCACCTCCTTCAGCTTGTCTGTGAGAACCTTGATCTCCTCCTCGTACTTGTCCTCCTTCTGCGAGTACTTTGGTTACATACATAGCGCAGCGTTAGTCGAGCATCATCACAATGTTGATATAAGACACTTTCAAACTGATTTCTGGGGTTTCTACTGCAGATCATTTGCCCTGAATCTTCTCAGACTACCATCTTACCTTCTCTGCCTGAGCCTCCAGAGACTTCAGGTTGTTCTGCACGGTTTTCAGCTCCTCCTCAAGCTCAGAGCATTTGCTATTGATTCAAGGTGTAGTTGAACAAGCAGGAAGATGCCAAAGACAGAGAGAGATTTTGTGAGAAGACAAAAAAATTATAAAGCTGTTACTCGGAGGAACAGATGGAGGGGAAGGGAAGGAAATGGTTACCTCTCAGACAGCTCAGCACGCTCCTCTGTACGTTCCAAGTCGCTCTCAATGATCACCAGCTTACGGGCCACCTGAAGTCACAACATACAACGTTTAGTCCCACACTAGTTTGATACATTACATACAGTCAGACAAAATTTTATTCCTTCATGTATTCACTGTAATTCTAGGTTGTGTCTGAAATCACTCACTCATTCACTACTCCCTACTCAATATCCAGGGACTCATATTCAGTATAGAGGACAATGTAGTGAAATCACTGCTAAATTGAAAAAATACTTTCAGACATGACTTGGGTAATTTTCTCTGCGCTGTTTTTCCTTCTTTCAGTGTGAACAAAATGCATGATGGTATATATTGCTTGATTAGTGACCACTGGTCGCATACTACTTTTCATGATGCATTGTGGGATACTATGAATACACTATATAGGGTATAGTAATTGTCACTATACATTCAGACAGCGTTACAAAATGGCAATATATAGTGGACTATATAGGGAGTAGTCAGTGATTTCGGTCACAGCACAAGTCATTATTTATGACTTGGAAGCTATAATATACATCTTACAGAGGATAGCTATTGATGGCAGTTGTTACATTAAAGTGGAAGAATGTGGAAAATGCTAAGTACAAAGTTCAGAGTGCAGTGAACAGCTGAGAGACTCACCTCCTCGTATTTGCGGTCAGCCTCCTCAGCAATGTGTTTGGCCTCCTTCAGCTGGATCTCCTGCAGCTCCATCTTCTCCTCGTCCTTCATTGCCCTGTTCTCAATGACCTTCATGCCTCTGAGATAGAGAAAATAGTATGGCGGGTAAGCACCAACTGCAGGCCAGTGTGTTTGGTAGTGGCATGGAGATGGCATGGTTCCCTATGTACAACTGACAAGAGACCACCGGTTCATCTCTGGAAATGTATTTCTTGAGAAAATTAAAAAGTTTCCAGAAGAGCACAGGGTTCAATGTGAAGTCCAATACTGGCGAAGGTAGTCTAAAATACCAGGAGGACTACACGGACCTCCACTTTAAGTTGAATTACTATTTGGACAAAATGTATGGATACTTCACATTAATGTACACTTGTACACAGTATAATACACTGTTGATAAGTAGTGTGACTGTATTATCCACTCGTCATACTAAAAGACATAAGTCTCCCTCAGAATGCTACATTAAATCAACATCAATGCAATACAGTGTCTACCCACTAGTGGCAGTACTGCAACAGCATGTATCATATGCAGTCTTTGATTTTTAATATACTGGACTTTATGTGTGACCCTAATGTGTTTTCATATTTGTCTTAAAAGGAATTCAGTGGCAGAAGAATCACCACTGGACTCCAAAAGGTTTGCAACAGCATCTGACCTGATACTTAAGTACAATGGAGTGATTCAGAAATGGATTTTCATCAGTTTGACTTTCAAAATGCAATTACCCATTTCCAAACCTGTCACTTTTTCATAAAGAGCAAATTTCACTGTAACAAATAATGAGATGATGGGGGACTAAAATTTTCTTAAAATGAGTGCTCTATGCACATCAGGACAGTACACCCATGATTTTTCTGTAAAATACAATGGACTACATGAATGGCACGAGTGGAGAGTGTTGACCAAGCAGTGTCTTATTTTTCCAGCTGCAAGATACCCACCTCTCACTCTCATCAGCAGCCTTCTCAGCCTCCTCCAGCTTGGTCAGGGCTGTGGCCAGACGCTCCTGAGCACGGTCCAACTCCTCCTCAACCAGCTGGATGCGTCTGTTCAGGGATGCTACATCACCCTCAGCCTAGGAGAGCACAACACCAGAATCACATAGAGTCAAATCATGGGTACCTGCATATGTTTCAGTTGGCTTTGCAGGCTTACACCATCCCCAGACTCTCCGTGGAGAGCATGGGCTGGGTCAGGGACACCCAGCCCAAGGGAGGGATGCAGGCTCTAATATGCACATTTTACACACAGGGTGAATGATGGGTTGTATTTCTCTTCATTAAACACAAATCTTTAACCCAACACATGTTAACAGTGCATTTAAAGAAAATACTAGACTGATTTATCCACCCCTCATCTTCCCTCTTTCCTTTCAAACCTGCAATTTCCTGACGCACAGTGATTTATTCTTGTCGCATCAACAAATTAGCCACAAAACATGGCTACACTCTAGTATTTCGGAGGGTAACAGTAGCAGCTCCCCACTGCAGGAGTTTAACACATGAGAGTATTTTATCTGAGAACACCTGTGGTGCTGCTGCAACGTTAGCCTACTTGTTACAGGGCGGTTTGTTTATTCGGGATGTACAGGGTGGTGTCCTCTCTTCTACCCATCCTTCAGTCTCCACATCCCGCAGTGGGCTAATTCCAAGCATGTCTACCTGATACCTGACTGTATTCGAGCATACACGGCCGCTGTCTGGGCCTAGCAGCCACGCTTTTTGACCAGATTTGCGGCTAATGCCACCGGCAGCCTAAGGACTAATTGCCTTAAATCATTAGCAGCGGCTTACTGCTTCCCTCGCACTCCTCTCCTGGTTCAGTTCCCGCTGCAGTAGCGCTGCCCGTTCCTCCGCCACATCGGCCTGCTCCTGCAACGACTTGATTTTCTTCTTCACAGCTTCCAGGGAGCTCCCACCGGCCATTTTTGCTCTGTTTTGTCTCCGCTAAGCTAGTTTTTTCTCGGCCGTGTGCGGGCTTATCCAACGCAGACGCGCGCACACATACACACACACACTTGAAGATGCGGCGCGTTTGATCCCTGCCCCCACCGCCTTTAATCAACCGCTGATGAGGATTGGGACGTGCCACCAGCCCCGGAAGTACCTGATTTTACACGCAAATAAATATATTTATCAAATGAATTAAGAAATATATTATTTGTGTTGATGTCAGCTGTTCTTTTAAATCAATTCCATGTCATTTATTTTATTTTTTTGCCAGTTATATGGCTATCTAATTCTTGATCTTTTTTGAGTGCATCCCCTACTGGTAAATTGAGCTCACCCTATCAAAGCCACAGCTCCAGACATCGCACACTCAGTCATAAGCAACAATGTAACTAAGTTACGATTGCGTACTCTAATTTGAAGTATAATTAATTAACAAAACATAATAATAATAATAATAATAATTGTTATAATTAGTAGTAGTATTATTATCATTAGCTATTCTTATTATTTCACGTTGCTAACACGGTCTGCAGGTCAAAATATTTTTTCTGTATTTGTTTATTTATCCATTCATTGCAAGTTAGTTATTCTCTGCTTTTTTCGCGATTTAGTGTGACTCAGCGTGGTGCTCTCATACTTCCTAATTATTTACTTCCTATAGGCCTAACCGTCCTTGAGTCATATTGTGTATGTTATTGTGTATAGTAGCCTAGATGGTAGTTTTAGGCTATTTCACTTATCTCTGTTATCTATATGTTTTTCTACTTTTCTTTAGTCTCACCTGCCAATCTTTCAACCAATCAAACAATGGATCAGTTAAATCCATGTTAAGGATTAGGCTACTAAAGTTTATCTTTTGTTATCTCGTAGTGTCTTAATAGCCTAAGGTTGTTGTTTTCGTAGTTGTTTCTGGTTATGACGTAATCAATTAGGCGTAATTGGTGTAACGTTAAGCGAAGCTAATAAACTGGTAATTTCATCGGGGTTGGACATAACTGCTGAGTGACAACTGGAACCAGTAAAATCACAAATCTGTCAAGGATTGTACAGGCACAAATATGCTTGTAAAATGCCCGACTGAAACCCTACACTGGCCGTCAGTTTCGTCTAAATGGCTGTGGAATGTACTGGTAAGCCATTGAGTTTTGACCTTACCATATACAGCACATGAGCTAAATTTAACTATCTATATATTCATCCTACACAACCCCCAGGCCTCTTATAATTGATTATTACTTAACTTAATCATTAGAGTAAATCTGTATTAGGGTGGGTAAATTTAGTTTCCGGTGGGGGGGCCAAGGGGTTGTTCAAGGTTAAACCATTACGGAATGATCGCCCAACGGGGGCTTCTCCTGAGGTGCTGTCAGCCCAAACTCACATCTGTGGCTTTCTTCTCAGCGAGCTCCAGTTTCTCCTGGGCATCCTTCAGGGCTTCAGAGTACTTGTCCAACTCATCCTCAGTTGCCTTCAGCTTCTTCTGCAGTGCTACCAAGTCATCCTCAAGCTGGGACACAGAGGAACGAGAAGAGATTTACATGCATGTAGAAGACAGACATCATCACCATTTATCATAGTGTCTGTAAATAACTGTAATAATAAATGTTTGCGCTACACTACAAACCGCATATTAGTCATTTGGAAAGACATTTATTCTAGGCTATTAGAACAGGCATATCATTAGATATTTAATTAAATGTAATCCAAAAGTAAATGTAAAGTGTAATCGGTTGTTGCCAACTTCATGCAGTTCAAATGTGAAGTACGACAACAAAAAATAAAAGATATTATGATTTTTTTTAAAAAGTTCATTTAATCCTATGATGACACACATATTAATCCTCAGTGACAGGACACTGGACATGCAGGAACCATGCAGCGCTAAGGCGCACAGTGCCATTGGCACAAGTGCGTAAAGGCACCAGAGTGGGCTTCAGAGAGGATGCAGACCTGTTTGCTCCTGTCCTCAGCTGCCTTCTTGTCTGACTCGGCCTGCTCAGCTCTGTCCAAGGCATTCTCCTTGTCGAGCTTGAGCATCTGCATCTTCTTCTTGATGGCATCCATGGCTGCTTAGTGTTCGGGGCGTCCACGCGAACCAAAAACAAAAGAAGCTGGATGAAAGGATCGGAGCGTCTGAACCACACTGAACGCCAAGCTGGAGTGCGAGCTCGCTCCGGCTGTTGTGAGTCAAATATGTATTTTGGCTGGGCAGTTACTGGACACCCAATACTTTTTTGGAAACAACTGCAGCTGTTTGCCAACGCGGGACCTGTCTTTTTTCTGAATCCCTTCACTGATTCGTTCTTCCAAGACATTTGACCACTTCTATGACTATACATGGGGTAAGGACGTCAGGAGGTTACTCCCCCCTCACACCAAGACGTCCACTCCTATTTCTAACACCCTCCAAGTGACAGGCAGGAAGTGGAGTGTCAAGACTCAAGCTCCTCTGATCACCCTCCTATCACCCAGAAAGATAACTCAGAATCCAGATGTGAGCAAAAGACAACTGCGACATAATTAGACAATTGTCTTATAATTATTTTGTACCTTTTTACATGTAATTGTGCTAAAATAAAGTATTTTAGACATTGTTTACAGTACTGTCTAATCATGTACTCACAGCAAATTACAACATTTCAACAGTTTGGTACCAGAATGAATTGTCATAGCACTTCATGCACGAGAGCTATTCATACAAAACAAATATATCTGATTGGATAAGCCGCTGTGAAAGTTCTTCTCGCTCTGTGGGGTGTCATATTAGCCAGTAGGGCTTGTTTGTCTTCCAGGGATCATTTCAGCAGCTCCCTCTCAGCATAGTTCAACATCCGAGCAGAAATCAGATAGGCTTTGGTCTCTGCAGAGGTATATCATCAGGCTTGTCCAACTCCTCTCCCAGTTAATACATGCCTGAGAGTTATTTCTCAAATGGGCCGCAGTGGATATAGTGGCGTGCACAGTGAAGGATAGAGAAGCTTTGGCATTTCAACAGCCCCCTCGCTGCGCCTCTGTGATAGTTCACGGGGCCACTGGCACAGCCGCAGCTGTCACACACAACCTGTGGTCAGGCCTGCTGGACGGCTGAGCAATAATAGTTAACTGTCGACTACTGTAATTAATTTTTGTACCTGTTAGGGAAATTGGACCTTGGGAAGGAGAATGAAATATGATTTAACAAGTGAAAATGAGATCTAGTGTAAAAATAGATTAGATACTATGTATAAACATACACCACTGTTATGTAATATTATGAACATCACTGTCTTCCTGTCCATAAGGTGTGTCAATACACACTGACAGTATTTTGTCACTCTCTAAGATGCATTTGGATTTCAGCATCCTTGCCTTTATTTTCTAGTCTGTACTGTTCTGCTTCTGTTTGGTTGAGTGCATATTTTTGGGATCTTACTACTTGGAAAAGCACCTGCTGGACTCTGTCCATGGCCCTCGTAGCCACTCCCACCCTCAACAAGCCTGACTATAAGAAAAGGAGCATTAGCTTTCTTTCAAATCAGATCAGTCACTATTGTGAAAGGAATTGGGTGGAGGGATAGAAAAAACAAACAGCCTATATGCAAACCAAAAACACTTCACTATTACTGAATTTTGGTTCCATCATATTTACAGAGCTAAATTAATTATGACATAGTTATGATAGTGTAAATGCTTCCTGGTTTGAACAGCTGAAGAAGAAACACTCTTAACAATTTGCTATCACAATCTGACTTTGGCTTGTTTTAAGATTAGATTTTATAAGGCTTTTTATTTTTTGAATGAAAATTCAATTCAATTGTTCTTCTCTTTTCTGTACTTTGTTCTCCTTTGTTTTATCTCTGTGGTGGTCCAGCCTGATATCCTTCCTGTGGTGCTTCTTTTTTTTTTTTAAAGCAGTCAGCTGTCACTGTGTTGTCATCCCGCCATGTGTTTTGTGGACTGTTTAACAGCCAGCCAGGCATTCCAGTCGTATACAGAGATCAGAGAGGCTCATGGAGCAATCCATGTCACCCTAGCACCCAGGATAGATAGAGACGAATATCATCACACTATACCTGTCCAACAATTAATGATTTACTGAGATTGCATTTCATTCAGGGGTCTGTGGACTTATAACTGCAGTTAGAATGTGATTCTTTAAATTTTTCTTCAAGGGCCAGGATCCATGGGAAATATTTTTTGTTGTTTTTGTCTGCAGCAGAGATCAATGTCCTCATTATTCATGACTCATTCCAGACCTGAGTCAATGTGCTGCAACTGGTCAAATATCTAATATTCAGTTTTTCTGTATTTTATTTGTATGTTCGTCAAGAAATTCCTTATGTGAATTGATAGCTAAAAGATAAAGATGAAGCCTTTCTTGAAATCGTTCTGAAAGAAAAGGTGCCATTATGAGTCTGAGATGGTATCGCTGAAGCCATATGACAGACAGGTGTGATATATGAAACAAGCCTCAGTATTCCCAGAATTCCCATCATGCAGGGAAGTATGTGGCCCTCTAACAATGATGTTGTGTGTTAAGTTTAAAGACCTTTGAAATTTGATTTCATTAGGTGACCATTGTCTGCTGATGGCCATGCATGCATTACTGATTTATTGTTATGAGGAACCCATAAATCTAAACACAGTCTTTGTTTCTGTGGTGTATCACAGCTCCATGCAGTTTGTGATGCTCCCTCTACTTGAGTGACTGCTTTAATTCATATCATGTTGTAATGCCAAAAGTAGTGAACAGTATGTTTAACAGTTTAGTCAAACTGTCAGAACACAAATAGAAGTCAGTGCCATTTGAACATTTCATTATAGATGTATTGAGGAAGCTGGGTATGCAGACAAAAAGTGAGTGTACAGTGATGATTTCATTGTTAATGTCCAGACTGGAATCTCTCACTTCCTCCTCAGTAATTAAAAGTATGGAGGAGAATAATGTTGGTGTTCCACTCAGTCCTTCTGAGTCAAACTTTATCTCTTGCAGTGATTCAACCAAGCTCGTCATACCGGTTCAGATGTGCAGAGCTCGTGTGTGAGGTCATTTTAAAACATCAACATGATGAGTGTGTTGAGCCTCTGTCCACAGTGCTTGTTACAAT